CACAAATATGATGATATTGGAAAAACAAAAATAAAACCCAGTGTGACAACTAGCCCCTATCTCCCCTTAAAGCTATATAACATCTTTTGCCAGTGGTTTAGTTAACACATAACTCCAGAGACTGCAACATTTAGTACTGTGCGTTTAGATGTTATTCATATAACATATATTACACACTATCATTCACGTTTTGGGTCAGTAAGATTTTTATGTCTTTAAGCTCACAGAGGCTGCAATTATTTGATCAGAAATACAATAAAAACAACAATATTGTGAAATATTATTACAATTTAAAATAACTGTTCTCTATTTGAATATATTTTCAAATGTATTTTATTCCTGTGATGCAAAGCTGCATTTTCAGCATCATTCCTCCAGTCTTCAGTGTCACATGATCCTTCAGAAATCATTCTAATATGCTGATTTGCTGCACGAGAAACATTTCTCATTATTATCAATGTTGAAAACAGTTGCGCTGTTTTTATGGAATTCTTTGTTTAATAGGATTCTTTGATGAATAGAAAGTTCAAAAGAACAGCATTTATTTGAAATATATTTTTTGTTACATTATAAATGTCTACTGTTATTTTTAGATCAATTTAATGCATCCTTGCTAGAATAAAAGTGTTAAATGTATTCAAGAATAAAATATCAGAAAGACAATTTACTGATCACCGTCCTGTTTAATGCAAACCTTTGGAGAAACAGAGCTGGACGATTCATGTGTCATTGTTTGGGCCTGTGCTGCTCCCTGCAAGTGCCCAGATCACCTGACACATCTTCTTTATAGACTCCGCCTCCATGCCAGCCTCAAGTTTTGCTGCACCTTCACTCAGATCAAACCTCTCGATCTCGTCATTGGCTCGGCACAGCTGAGAGGCGGAGCCTGTGAGGCTGGAGGCGGGGCAGAACTGGTGCAGGTGGATCTGCAGGCTGCACAGGTGTGTGTACCTGCGAGAGCAGTGCGGGCAGCAGTGGGAGCGCGGGCTGGCGTGCAGGCGTCTGTGCAGCCGCAGGTGGATGTGCTGGGTGAAGCTGGCGAGGCATTGCTTACAGGCATACGGCCGTTCGCCCGAGTGCAGCCGCAGGTGAGTCTTCAGGTTACTGCAGCTGCTGAAGCGCCTGTTACACACCTGCACACGAGACACATCATATGAGCACATGAGATCTCGTTTGACTCTCCTAGACAGCAGTGAGATGTTCCTCTGTGTGTTCTTACATGGCATTCATATGGTTTTTCTCCCGTATGAACCTGAATGTGCTTTTGAAGATGAGCCAGCTGGGAAAAGTTCTTTCTGCAGATATTGCACTTGTATGGTTTCTCACCGCTGTGAACCCTCAGGTGAACCTGGAGATCAGAAAGCCGAGAACCGAGAGAGATTAATAAAAAAGAAAAAGAAAAAATTTATATACATACACTGCCGTCCCCAAAAAAAATATATAATATATATATTATACAGCAAGAACACATTAAGTTGATCAAAAGTGACAATAAAAACATTTATAATGGTGCAAAAGATTTCTGTTTCAGATAATGCTGATAAAACTTTCTATTCATCAAAGAATCGTGAAAAAAAATATCAGTTTCCAAAAATAAGTATAAATAAGTAAAGTAAATAAAGAAACTGTTTTTAACATTGATAATAAATGTTTCTTGAACAGTAAATCAGCATATTAGAATGATTTCTGAAGGATCATGTAGTTTATATATATATATATATATATATATATATATATATATATATAATATACAGTATATAAAAATTATATTAATAATATATGTATATATATTTAGATTATAAGTTATTTTAATACTTAAGTTAAACTAAAATGAATTGAGAACTGATGCCTTGGCAACAAGTATAAATAAGTAAAGTAAATAAAGAAATTGTTTTTAACATTGATAATAAATGTTTCTTGAACAGTAAATCAGCATATTAGAATGATTTCTGAAGGATCATGTGACACTGAAGACTGGAGTAATGATTGATCACAGAAATAAATGACATTTTAATATATATTCAAATACAAAACAGCTATTTTAAATTGTTATAATATTTCAAAATATTACTGATTTTACAGTATTTTTGATCAAATAAGTACATCCATTAGTGAGCATAAGAGACTAATTTCAGACTAATTTCAAATTTGTTTTTTGTTATTTTAGTGTAATTGATATACTATTTATTTTGCTAATATTTTGAATCCATTTAAATGATATATATATATAT